CCAGGTCGGGCGGTGCTGCTCTGTGCTGGCCAGGAGAGAAAGGGGTGAGAAATGGCTCTGCTGGAGCTTGGGGGTGACGGGATCCCACCCTCCTGCTGCACTTTTCTTGTAGGTGGTTAAAGAGATGGACAATGAGAAGAGGATCCGGCTGCTGCAGTTCGTGACGGGGACTTGCCGCCTGCCCGTCGGGGGGTTTGCAGAGCTCATCGGTGCGTGTTCCTGGGTGCTCAGCCCGGGTCAGGGGTCCTGGGGAGACGGGCGGGGGCAGCAGCCCTGTGCAGGGGCCGGAGGGTGGGACCTGGATGTCCATGTCTCCAGCACAGACTTCAGGACAGCCCACACACAGCACGTAAGCCGGGCAGCAGCTGCAGCGTCTGAGCACAGCGATCGATTTGGTGGCGTGCCGTACCCAGACAGAGTCCTCAGCCAGGAGCTGTGCCGCCACGCTTCGGTTAACTTTGTCAGCCCAGCTTGTAATCTCATTTCGAATGAGACTTTATTTTTTATTTAATTTTGATTTTTTGCGATGAAACCCCCTTTCCAGAAAGCCGCAGAGTGGCATCGTTCTGCTCTCATCCTTTAATTTTGGTACGTTTTGGGGCCTGTACCAGCCTTTCCCTTATTTCCTGGCATCAGTGTCAAGCCAACCAGCTAACTTGGACCACTGCTTTATTCTTGCTGGTATATTAGCTTTTTTCCAGCCCCCTGGAGCCTCTCCAGCATTCACGATCTGTTAAAAAGCGACCTCAGTGACTCAGACTTCCTGAGCCAAGTCCTTTAAAACTCTTGGATGGACCCACTCAGTCCTGTGGGTCTGTGGATAAAGATGTTTTAGCACTTGCTATTTAACCGTCCTGCTCTGAAGCCAGGCTGTTATCTGCACTGTGAATATGCTTTTTGCCTTTCTCCTTTCTTGTTTGTACCTCCTCTCTGCAGAGGGGTCAGAGCAGGCAGGGAGGGCTGCCATGGATTTGTGCCCCGATGTGTCTCTAGGATCAGAGGGGCGTGTGGTGGTGGGATCTGCAGGGTAACGGCGAGTCGGAGGGTTTTCTTTTTCAGCTCCTGGTCATGTAATGAGATTTGCTGTGTTCACAATTAACAGGCAGCAACGGGCCCCAGAAATTCTGCATCGATAAAGTTGGCAAAGAGACGTGGCTGCCTCGGAGCCATACATGGTAAGTCGTTTCTCCTCAGCCCTGTTAGGAGCACCCGGGGACAACCGCTGGCAGTCTCTGCGGGGCTGCACGGGGCCCCGGGCCCCTCCGTCCCCTCTGCCTGTGTTCCCACGGGACGGAGCTGCCGTTCCTGGCCGTGCATCTCACCGCAGCTGCAAGGGGACCCTGCCGTGGGGTGAGAACCGGGCTGGCAGCGCTACTCACGGCCTCTGCTGTCTCTCCAGCTTTAACCGCCTGGATCTCCCTCCCTACAAGAGCTATGAACAGCTGAAGGAGAAGCTGCTTTATGCGATTGAGGAGACAGAAGGATTTGGACAGGAGTGATGGAGCTTTGGTGCTTTCCCATGGCGGGGAGGGCCCTGG